GTATTGTTACACTTATATACTACATTTACTGACTACATTAAAGACTACATCTTTCTTATACGAGTAAATTTCGGTTCAACTTATGTGAGATATGTGATCGATAAACCGAAGAAACAATAAGAACCATTTACATTTTACACGTTGTGCATATACACAACAATACAGTGCCCACCAAAAATTTATATAGCTCCCTTTTTGGGTACATGCATTCCACCAAAGCAATTTCAAACTGAAAAAAGGAAGGAAGGTACACATATCACTAATTCAAGTGATAAATGTATTCATTAAAGCAAGCAAGTAATTTTCATCAAAGATTTTGTTTTACCAAACAAATTTAACGCTGAATTGATAGCAAATATTATATATAGGTTTTTCAGTCAAAATGGTCTATGAGATTGATATAACTCTTCATTTTGTTATTTAAGATTTAAAATTCATGAAAGTGGAGTCTATGTTTGTCCATCGTCACCATGAAAATCTTCGTTAAATAAGATTAAAATGACAAAAATACCCTTAATTTTTTTTTTCAAATCATTTTGGCCCATTGGTTCTCAAACTAAGGATATTTTTGTTATTTTGGTTCTTATTCAATAGAGATTTTTCGTTAAATGACCAAAATATTGATGGTTGACAAACTTAAGAACCACTTCTATCAATTTTAAATCTCAGCGCTAAAATACTAAAAAGAAATACAAACAAGAAGAAGCATCTGATTAGTGATCAAGTCGAGTGGATTAGAAGGGTACCCAACCACTAATTAAAATAATAATGTTCTGCTACTTAGTCGTTTGCATGGATGATGATCCAAATTTCTAGTAGCTCGAAAAGAATAAAAATGCTGGCCAGATTCGAACAATTCGTAATTTAAAAACATTTGGACTGGAATTTTGATGTTGCGATGTGGCCTAACATAATCTTTTAATTTTGTATTCAACCAATCAAAAGAAAATAAAATAAAAAAGGTGCGTCGGCCGTTGAGAATTTCCTCATTTATACGGACCGGCTATTACGGCAGACACTTCCAAGTCGTATACGTAGTTCCCATACACGTATTTTAAAGCAATAATAATAAATAATACTTTAATAAATCTTAAGTATGAAATTTCTTTATTTGCTTTCTAATTTCTTTATTCGATTGGACAAAAAAGAAGATTATTGACTTTCTCTAAAAAAAAATAAAGATATTCGTTCAAAATAATTGGTAAAAATATCATGTCTGAATCACATAAATGCGATGACGATACATAATTATAATTAGTTCGATTCTGAATACTGATATGAGTGATTTTACAACTCTTTGTAAAAGTATTTTATAGATTCGTCATTTTTTTTTAATAAAGTCCAAATACTTTGGGAGAAAATGAAGAAAGGTATTGTTTTATTATTCAATTCTTTAATAAGCTAAAGATACCATTAAAATTAAGTTCATACAATTAATTTTAAAAACTGAAGTCCACTTCCCCTTTAGTTCACAGCAAAAGAAAAATAGAAAAATTAAAAACAAAAAAAAATAATAATTAAAAATTAAAAACAAAAAAACTAATTAATTTTTTTGTCAAAAAAAAAAAAACTAATTAAACTACTGACAGATAAAGGGAAAAGAATAAACGAAGTGAATTCTCGCGTACGCGTTTACCTCTCTCTCTGCTTTAAAACTCTCTCCCCTCTCTCTCTCTATCTCTCTCTCTCTCCGTCCTCCCCTCCCCTAATTGCAGAAGAAGCACATTCCTCGTCGGTCGTCCTAAAAAATCTGACCCAGCGACGCAGCCTCTCTCTAAATTCCAACGCAGACCCAACTCCCCCACCTCCCTCCCTCTCCCTTTCTCCGTCGGCATCTCAGAATCCCCAATTTTTCCTGCTGTTTTTCGTTTTTCAATTTCCTCAATAAATTCGCAGTCTTTTCGATGGACCTAGATTCTCAGATCCATGGGAGGCCGACCCATGTTTCTACATAACCCAATTCTTCATTCTGCACCTGGGTTTTCACCAATGCCCCAGCCCTAGCAGATCCCATCCCCACCTGAATTTAACGCATTCTGGGTTTTTCCCCAAATCTCAGCCGTCCGATCGAGACCCGCCTCGGAAGATGAAGGGGAAGAGCCGCTTGTTCACGATCGGGCTCGTCACCGCCTGGTACTCATCCAACATTGGGGTTTTGCTGCTGAACAAGTACTTGCTCAGCAACTATGGCTTCAAGTACCCGATCTTCCTCACCATGTGCCACATGACGGCTTGCTCTCTGCTCAGCTACGTCGCAATTGCTTGGATGAAGATGGTTCCGATGCAGACCATTCGATCCCGGGTCCAATTCTTGAAGATCATGGCGCTCAGCCTGGTGTTTTGTGTCTCCGTCGTGTTTGGGAACATTTCGCTGCGGTATTTGCCGGTGTCGTTTAACCAGGCTATTGGCGCCACCACGCCGTTCTTCACTGCGGTTTTCGCCTACTTAATGACTCTCAAAAAGGAGGCTTGGCTCACGTATCTCACCCTCGTTCCTGTTGTTACTGGAGTCGTCATTGCAAGTGGGGTATGAGCTCTCTTCCTTTTCTGTTAATTTTGCTTTGTTTAATGCAAATTCAAGTGTTTTATTGAGAATTGCTGTGAATTCTGGAAATGGGTTTGCTTTGGTATGAGCTGCTTTGGATGGGATTTGAGCAACTTTGCTTAGACTAGTCTGAATTGTGGGATATGGGTTGGGATGGATTGGTGACATTTTTTGCCAATTCAGTTGTTTATAACTCCAATTGGTTTTAACCGTCCATAGTTTAGAGAAAAACTATTGTCAGAAGATCTATCAAAACCAAAAGGAAAGATGAATTGTTGGACCTGAGGTTTTAGTATCTACCTGAGATCTGATATATTTCTGTTAAGCTGAGCTTAGTTCAAGATTTAACTGAATCGGGGTGAATAAAAAGTACTTTGGGTGCATGAAAGTGGGTGGCTTTTTCCAATTTCCCTAGTTAATATAGCCAGTAAAGTTGTGAGATTGTGCAAATGTATGTGGAGCCTTCAATTTGACCGGAGCAATGCATCTCATAGTTTGTTCTTTTTACATGGCCGCAGGGTGAACCAAGTTTCCATTTATTTGGTTTCTTAATATGCATAGCAGCAACCGCTGCCAGGGCGCTTAAATCAGTGCTACAAGGGATTTTGCTTTCTTCTGAAGGGTAAGGAATCCTTATGTGTTTGCTCTATCAGTCTCTAAATGGTTGAATGGGTACTGAATGACTTGCCTTTATATTCCAGGGAGAAGCTGAATTCTATGAACCTCCTTCTGTATATGGCTCCGATAGCCGTTGTTTTCTTACTTCCCGCAACACTTATCATGGAAGAAAATGTTGTCGGTATAACACTAGCTCTTGCAAGAGATGATGTCAAGATCATATGGTACCTACTATTCAATTCGACGTTGGCATATTTTGTAAATCTGACCAACTTTTTGGTCACAAAGCACACCAGTGCTCTAACTCTTCAGGTTTGTCTCCCTTCTTGATGTAACATCTTTTTAATTGTTAATCAAAATGTATTTTAAATGCTGTTAACACTTGTTATGTTCTAGCATTTAGAAGATTTCATGAATAAAAGTTACAGTTTGGGCAGTACTGAAGTTGCAGGGAGTTCTGTCCTCAGGGTTTAAGTGGTGAAACTACTTGGATTTTGTTGCTTATAGGATGAGCCATCCTAATCTTATAGGGACTAGTTCTGTTTATGGGGTTGAGAAATAATGGTTTATTGGTGTGTGTTCAATGATGGCACCTGCTGGAAAATAGCCGGTTATATGGGGCTGTGAACATTATACCATGGCAGAATTTATAATCTAGGACCAGATGCGTTAGATTGAAGGCACTAGTAGGACAAGAGGATGTCCATTCATATGTTCGCGTGGCTATGTTGGCTAGTGTTTTTGTTTGACGTGTTGAAAAAATGAAATGATCATGATAAAATCTGGTGTTTACTGTATTTTTCTAAATTACTTCGTTGTTTCCTTTAATGTGAAAGGAGCTGTAGCAAGTAACTAACGGAACGTTTGGTTATCCAGGTTCTAGGGAATGCTAAAGGAGCTGTAGCTGTGGTGGTCTCGATATTAATTTTTAAAAATCCAGTTTCTGTGACTGGAATGATGGGTTACACTCTTACAGTCTTTGGAGTGATCCTATACAGCGAAGCCAAGAAACGAAGTAAATCATAGTTCCGGGAAAGCATCAAGTGAAATGTCTTACGTTTTGTATTTTGTACTGCGAGAACAGCAGTGGCCGTCCTGGAGGCATAGTTGGGGGGGGGGGGGGGGTACATGCGAGCAGTTGGTGCCGGGATCTTGCCTCTACAAATTTTATTTTTTCCCCTGGAAGCCTGAGTACGTGAGTGGCTTCCATTTGTATCAGCAAACAACGCAGGATAAGTCGAAAAAAGTAGGAAACTTAATAAGTGACTAGTATTACGGAGGAAAATCAGTATCGTTTTATCGTTTTATTCTTTCAGCAAAAGGGTTGTAGAATTGGTCTCCACACATTCAGTCTGTTATTAACATTTCTTCTATTGAATCAATGAAAACAAAACCATTCACAATTTCACTATTTGGTACTTGCATCTCAGACGCAACATTGTATAACTGTCTATTTTCCTACGGGTGTGCTATCCACACACCTTTTTACTTCTCACACACCCTCTTAATTTTAGGCTGTCGGATCGAATGTCAGAAATTAACAAGGGGTGTGCGAGAAGTAAAAAGAAGTGTGTGAATATCACACCCCTTTTCCTACCAGTTCTGACGCCGAGGATGCAATTGTTGGCCAACAACACGAAATATCTGCCGGAAGATTTCAAATGTTGCATGTTTGTAAAGCAAAAATATGATGGTCCGAAAACATTATTTTGATCTTGAAAGGGATGACGAAACTGCTCAACCTCCACTTCATTTTCACCTTCCGGCTCCGCTACGTTTCCGACATCCACGCGAGGAGCCAAGTGGAAGAACCCTATGTAACCCATGTCAGCAAACTCTACTCAATCACCACCAGCAGATGTGAATTCGAAGACATTTTGGTTTTCACCTGCCTCGTGGATGGGATTGCCGCGGCAAGCGGAATCATACTGCTCAGAGTAATGGTCAAGATAACAGGCTCCTCCATTTCTGTAATGGTAGCTTCATCAGGCTTCATATAATATGTAATTGCAGCATATTAGCTGATGTGAAAATCCCATCTCTTTACCAAAACTACCATTTTTGTGACTTTTTTTTTGGGGGGGGGGGGGGGGGGGGGAGTCATATTTCTGCAGAAAAATAAGAACCTTGTCGACAGGAACGTTGTGAAGAAACAGTCCCAGATTCTCACCATTGGTGGAGAACTTCACAACTTCATTGCTCACAGAGAACTTCGCAGCTTCATTGCTCACAGATATCCTTGCAAATCGTAGCAAGCCTTGCCGGCAGCATCCTTGACAGTGGTTTGGCATTCTTCTTGTGGTCTTCGTTAGCTTCATCATGTAAACAGGAACTCGTATCTCGAGTCTTGATCTTCATGACAGAGAATTTTGAAAAAGAAATCAACAAATTTACGATGAACAAAGTCAGAGTTGCAAGACATGAACTGAAGTATCATCATCTCTGCTTTTTCTGAAAACAAATCAAGTTCGATTCTCTAAAACACACAAACTAAGCCTATCTCCGAGAACCAGCCCTGCCCGAAAACCGAGTTACGATACCAACCAATCCCAGAAATGAAGAAAAGAAAGAAAATAGAAGCGATTCAAGAAACTGAAAGAAAATGCAGAACATAGGTTGAGGTTTCCGTAAACTTAACAATAAAATGCAATGCGCGAAAGTTGTTGTTCTCCGCCGGAGAGATCAGAAAGTTGTCGCCGTTCTCCGACGGAAAAATCCTTAAGCCTGAATCTGAATGAATGATTTGTCCCATCCGATCCGACGGTCACCCATTTCTTTTTCTTTCCTTTGTTCCAATATGGATTGGTGTGATCAAGTTCGCTCATTTTGGCATCAGACAAACCATTCTCGATACTCATTTTGGAAGCGCTTATAAAATAACTAAAAGTTTGGCCAAAAAGGTTAAAAGTGTTCCTGGGTAAGAAGAAACACTTGAAGTGCTATATAGAAGCACTTAAAAGTGTTTTTTGGAAGAAACAATTGCTATGTGCTTGCATGTCAAGTTCTTCAAAATTTCGATGTATTTCAACTGCTTCTGACCCAATGTGTTTTGTATAAAAACATTTCCAAACGAGCTCTCCGTCCGAATGCTATGCGAAGAACATAAGCCAGGTTAAGGAACGGGACAAGAAAAGCCCATTACAATATTTTTCAGCAGATGAAGGAAAGGGGTGAGCGCAGATGGTAAGAGCGGGCAGAAAAATTCTTGACTCTTACCGTACGCACAGCCGTCATATGGTATTATCATTCCCCATGTTATAATAAGAATGTGCAATCTATTTATATTTTAGATATGGTTGAATTGTAACACCACATGACCGTCACATTGAAGAATTTTCGGGTGAGAGGGAAGCAGGAAAATGAAACGAAGATGACAGACTCTTTTCATATATTTGCCAAATGCCGAGAAAAATGGTGACAACATGAACTTACTGCAAACAAAGCCCTGAAGGTCTTTTTACAACTGCCGGACCCAGAATCACATACGGGAAGCAAAACACAACAATGTGCCCAAGATTGATGAGCCAAATAAAATAGAGAAGTACCAAGTTTTCTCACTCCGCCATGGAAAAGCATGAGGCTGAAGAGGAATACAACACTCTTAAACAAACGAAAGCCATGTGATCGAACATTTAAATATGGAATTTATGCTTCTGGAATGGAGGCTACTGCTGCTGTTGCTGCCGCCGCCGCCGCTGCTGTGCGCTTAATTGATGCAGACTTAATAAGATGGTTGTAGCTCCCCTTCTCCTTGAAAAGCTGGGAGAAATGGTGCTTGCAGTATAGAATGCCCTCCAAAGCCGCGTAGTTTGAGGGAGTAATAGGACAGCCGCCGTGAGAACACTTGAAACACGACTTGTGATAGGCCTGGCTCTCCACAGTCACCTGCAAAATTTTGGTTCAATACACTCGAATTAGTTTCATGGGGGTTTTTCATATCTTTGTGAGTTATATAAGAAAAAAGTTAATTTTCCCCCAATAACTATTGCAGAGGAACTCATTTGTTACCATGGAGGTCATGTGAAATTCGTGGACCTTCAAACACCTTTGATTATAATTAGGAATATTACATAGAACATGTGCTCAACTTATATCAAAGCAACGAAGTGCCAGTTCCAACCAATTCATTTTTGTTTGGGACAAAAACGGGAAAGCAAAAATAGAATGGTCGAAAGAAAAATTATCAACAAAAGACATATCTTCGGATCCTACCTTCTCCAGTGGATAAGCGGTTTTACCACAAGTAGCACATTTGTCTTGTGTTCCAGAAAACATGCTAGCAGCTTTGCTAGGAGACCTAGTCTGAACCAAACACAAACATTTGAGAATCAGTGTTGCCGCTATCTGATAGTATAAGAATATTCTGTAACTAAAAAACGGAGTTTATAACACCGATGTAGAGAAGTTTACCAGCTCTGGAGTTAACTTCTCAGCTGACTTTGCAGCTGTTGCAAATTAAATTTATAGAAGATTAAAACAGTAAACAAAAAACCATGCAGAGACATCAAAGACGGTTTCATCAGGAAAAAGATAAAGACATACGTGACTGAAAGTTCTTGTTGAAATTGCCAGTCTCCTTGAAAAGTTGCTCAAAGTGAGGCTTACAGTATAGAACACCTTCCATTGAGGAATAATTGCTCAGCTTTAAAGACAAATATTACAAAACATTAGAAACAAGAGGAAACTTCCATAAACAACTCCATATGTTACATATCTTAAATTGAACAGAATTCGGATCAATGGCACAAACAAATCTCACTATTCGAGTCCTCTTTCTAACATATACGTTCATACGTCAATAAATTCAAATGTACGTTCATATGCGAGGGTTTGGGACACAAATTTAAGTATTTCTTTTCCCATTGTATTGTATTATCTATTAATAATCTTCAAATTTTGATATTCGAATAAGGTTGCAAGTAAAATGTGTGTTCCTACGCAAGATTTTCGATTATTAACCAATATTTATGTCATTACACCCATTGCCATGATACTAAATAATTTGGTCAGAAGTATCGATAAAACGATAGTCTTTATAATTTGCTTTGAATCATTTGAAAATGATGCATCTAAGTTCCACTTCCACACAAAACGGATCGAAAATCGCAAAGAAAGCATGAAACGAGGCAGAATTGATGGTTGGTTGAGTACCTTCAAAGTCCCTTTGCAGTGGGTGCATTTGAAGCAAGACTTGTGGTAGGAAATCCCATCAGCAGATAGCTCCTCCACTGGGTAAACTGTCTTTTCACAAGCCTTGCATTTCTGCTGGGTGCCAATGAAAGACATATTTCTATCTCCTTCTAGATCTGATTCTTCTCTTTTTACCAAGATCACCCCCTCTCAACCTTCCACCTGCAATGAACAATTTAACAAAACAAAATTCAGGATCAAACGAGCTCTGTTTGTTTCCCGAGAAAGTAGAAGAAAGAAAAGGACTTTAAATTATGTGTGTAAAAGTACAGAGATTCATTGACCCAGATACGGGAAAACAGTAAAGTTACAGAATTTGGCAACTTTATCAACAAATCGACAGAAAACCCAAAATCCCATATCTCTTTTCCAGCTTTCCCAGAAACCGATCTAAAACTTTTAGAACATAAACAGCTAAATTATAGAATAAAAAATTACTCATTTTTTCTTAAGATTTTTTCTCTGATCCAACTTTCAAAGCACCCAAATGCAAGAACAAATTAATGGAGATCTGGCAGCATAGATTACGAAATGAAGTCAATAAAAATCCTCCAGAATCAGAAAAGCGTACCCTTTGAAGCTTTAAGGCTGACTGAGTGAAGCTCAAAAATCTCGATAATTAAAAAGGGTAAAATAAAAAAGAAAAGATTTTGAAAACGAAATGGGTGAGGAAGGGCAAATGGGTCCTTTTCCGTACGGAAGGAGTGTGATGGCAAGCGGATGGATATGGCGAGCGCTTTTTGCAGGGAGCGGATGCAGCGTAGTGGAGAAGACGACGATGATGAAATTATAGAGAGAGAGAGAGAGATAGAGAGACCCCTCCAAAATCCAAATCCAATGAGAGAGATTTTAAAGGCGTTGTAAAATAATAAATAGGAATAAAAATATCCGCGCTGGACACACTTTGTATCGTTCAACTTCAACTACTCGATTTTACGCGGCTTTTCTAGCTCTTTGTTGCCTACAAATTTACACATTGACCCCTATTTACGATAAAATTTTCAATGTGACACGTGGTATACCCTCTGTGTTCCGGTCACAATAAAAAGTTTCTATTTATTTACTTTACTTTTTACGGGGGGGGGGGGGGACTCGAACTCATCGCAAATATATGTCATCTATGCATACATATGAGTCGAACGATTTTTATAATAGGACTAAAAAAGTGAGTGTTATGCTAATATACTGAGCTCGTGTAGGAATCACACATTTACAGTGGGTCGAAAATTTGTAGGTGATACTTTTAAAGTAGTGGGTTCTAAGGTATGAATCGCACATATATTGAACTCACACTTGTGTAGTAGTGTTATAGGTATCAAACTCAAGCGGCCTGATTCTTATAAATAAGTATCACATTCACTCAAATTACGGTAAAACCCTAAGACTTCCTCTGATCAAATGAAGATAACAACTACTTTACTTAAACAAAGGCTACTCGAACTTTCTAAAATTGTTTATGATATGACAAAGTGTTTTTTAGTAACCAAAAACACTTCTGATTGTGTTTGGTGAAACAACTAAATAAACTTTTACGTCGTAAAAGTGTTTTTTTTAAGCACTTGGGTCATTGGGAATCACTTGGAGTTTTAATAAAAACACTTGTTGAAAGCAAATTTGAACATAATTGTTGTTTGTAGAGGTAGTCCCAAATGAGCTCTCAACTCCTTCCAATGTACTCATTGACAATGAGCCAAGCAAGGTTCATGCTAATTGGTAGATAAATGGTTAGTAAATAATTAAAATTAAAAGGCTAATCTGTTTCAGTTTTAAGTATTTAGAGGATAATTAAATGCATATAATCTAAGGCTGTGGTTGCACCACATCATTAGCTACGGTAAACATTCTAAATTAAAATTCGTTTCGAAATACGGTGGTAATTAATTGTGATTTGGTCATTGGGTGTATGATTTAACTACTAATTTAGTTCCCAACCAAAACAAAGATAAACAAAACTACAAATTTGTCGGGAAAAAATGCCTTGACCAGTACAAGACAAAGTGGTCACCAACAAATAAAATAAAACAGAATGAGGCATTGATTGATGATGTTCCACTAACACCACTTTTTGGGTGTCAATTGTCAAAGACATCGAATTTTCTATGCTCCATCTATTTGCCGGGATATTAATGTTATTGCTAGGATATTAATATTATCCACTTACGTGCACTCAACCTAGCCTTAACCTATTTTGCCTATGTCAAGAGTTGTTTATTGATCATTTTAAATTATTTTTAAAATGATTGTAAATATTTTTGGTGATATTAATTTTAGATTCCAAAAGTACTTTAAGTAAAAAAACATCATATATGTGATATGTTTTTCCAAGATCTACTTGAATTTTTATTAAAGATTTGTTTGAAAATATTTTCATCAAAAATGCTTTTAATCATTTTAAAAACTTACAAATAAGCCTATGTTTGTGCAGAGTTAAATCCGCAAATAAGCTCAGTCGAAGGAAGCTCTAGACATTATCATGGATAACTTGCAGGAAGACAAAGCCGAATGGTTTGATTTAAATTGATTGTACTTGTCTTCCTTTATACGCGTTTTTTTTTCTCTCTCTCTCCCTATCTAGAAATCAAGATCCAGAGCCTTTTCTCCGGCTTCAACTTTCAGCCGCCGCCCTTACTTTTGCTCAGGGTAGGCGGCAACCCGCTACTTCCTCCTCTTTCAAGTCTGCTTATTCCCTTCTCTTTCCCTCTTTCCCTCCTTACCTCATTTGCCTTTTTCTTCTTTTTCCTCCCCTCTCACATTCCTCCGCTCCATTCCCCTCCCTGCATCCATCTTTTCATCTCTTCTTTCCAGTCTCATTCTTTCGTTTTATTCTCGGTTTTCTCTGAGTTTATCTTAGTTTTCCCTGAGATGGGTCTCAACTATCCCCTGAGCTTGTCTCAGATCTCCATTCCCATCCCACCACGCACTCGAATAGGCGGGCTCCGATCATGAATAGAATACCAAATCTACTACCCTCCTTCACTTCCCTTCCCCCAACCGACATGCCTATGCCGGATCCCTTTGGAGGCCAAGTGTTGGGTATTTTACATACACCCCTTAGCCTCACTTTCTACTCGTATGATACTTTGTTTGTATATATTTGCAGGGGTTCGTGAAAGGGATTTGGATCTAATGTCTACTTTCTCGGTTCGGAGTTTGCCTTCCCCCGAGGATGTGATGGCCGCGACGATGTGGTCTTTGATGCTGAAATTAGGGTATTTTATTGTCTGTTTTTTTACTGTTTTCGGGCCTAAGCTTGTGTAGGCCTCATGTTGTATCTTAGGTTGCTACTCTCATTTTGTTTAGGCTACTTTCCCTGTAGTTGATTATCCAGTCTTTTTTTAGCCTTGTACTAGTTTTTATCATACTGAAAGTTGATTTTTTGATAAAATAAAAAATTGATTGTACTTATAGGGAATAGTTGACTTCTAAGTTGCTAATGCAAAACATTCATTTTTATTCGACTGAGTTGAAATCCTGACAAGATTTTTATCGAGGCACATTATGCCCCTGTTCCCAAATTCTATGTTTTTCTAATCATCAATAAATATCGTACTTTCTAAAAAAACAATCCGCAAATTTGTAACTCAAGTAAGTGTTAACAAGGCCCTCGATCAATATTGCTTGTATTGCAAAATTATTTGGCACTAAAGCATTAGTACACGAAGGAAAGTTTTTCTCTCCTCTGTGAGAGTTCTCTTCTCCGCTGTGAGATCCCGCCGTAGTGCGTGGTTATTAGTTGTCAGGCTCAAGTTCGTTTTCAGCCTCGCGATCTTGGTGGATCAGGTCGTTTTCTTTCCCCTTGGTTCTGTTGTTTTTACTCTTGCACCTTCCGGTCTGCTTTTCCTTTCTCTGATCGGGTTGGGTCCTTTCTTGATGTGATTTGGGTTGGTGGTCAGTTAATTAGGGTGGTTGGGGTTTGTTTTCCGCTTTTTTCTTAGTTATTTCTTGGCCCCTTTTTCTCCCCTTTCAAGCCCTAGGTTGATTTTGTCTGATTTGGAGGGAGGGCTTGGCCCTCTTTGGTACTTGTAGTAATGGGGAAGCTGAAGTCCCTAATCTCCGACATCAGGTGTAGGAAGGGGACTCTGACACAGAGGATTATGCCTGACTGCACAGAGACTACCTCCATAACTGCAAAAGGCTCCAGGTCATCAATTTCCACCGAATACAGGTTATTCCAACCACCATTATTTATTGCCATTCTCTTATATGTACTACAAACTCAAGAAATTGGTTGTGGGGTGAAGAAGCATTCTATTTACCCAGTTGTTCGCCTGGAAAAAGCCCCGTTTTTGTATTCGAGGTACTCTGCGGAACAACCGATTCAATCGGTGCTTCTTCATACGGATAATATGGCGCAGTAGGGTGTGGAGGAGCTTGTGGTTCAATTAGACAAAGCAATGGACTTGTCAACTGTGGAGACAGGTATTAAACTTGTGGGTTCGGTGCTAGCCGATAAACCTCTGAACAGATGGGGAGTTAGGAACATTCTTCGTGCGGCCTGGAAAAGTTATGGTGACATAGAGATTAAATGGGTAAAAGATAACACGTTTATCATCTCGGTCCCGGATGAACGTGTGGCAGGGAAGATTATTGATCAGGTGTCGTGGGGGGTCATGAAAAAAAACTTTTTGGTCACTGTTTGGCCAGCGGCGCTTGCTCTGGAAGAAGTTGAAATAAAAAAAGTCCCGTTTTGGGTCTAAATACGAGGTGTTCCTCTTTGTCTCACCTCTCTCGAAAATGTTAAACGGTTGACTAGAGAGGTTGGGACTTATATGGGTTTTTAAGGGTTAGACTATTGATTGATTCGACCAAACCTCTTGTGAGTGGATGCTGGTTGAGAAGAGAAGATGATAGAGATACATGGGTGGAATTCTGTTATGAGAGATTACAAGATTTCTGCTATAGATGTGGACGACTAAGACATGTTAACACGGATTGCACTTTTGAGGCAACCAAAGCTGGGGCAGTAGGGTTCGGAGAATGGCTGAAGGCACCTCCAGTCAGGGATGTGGAAGAAGGACCAAAAGTCATGATGACAGGGACGAGTGAAAGAAGGAGAGCTGGACCAGCTAGGGTGCCTGCTACACATTTGAGGTCTTTGGGGATTACCGAACTGGAACACACAAAGGAGTCTACTGCTGATAGTGAAAAGGAAAAGGGTAAGCTACCGATTCAGGGGAAGGGAAGTGCTCACCAATTCTATGGGAGGAAAAAGTGGCAAAGGAGGCTTCGTGCTCACAGGAACACTGAAGAACCGGTGGGGACAACTAATCAGCTAAATTGGCTTGTTCAGCAAAGTTTACAACAGTCTATATGGGGCAGTGGATCTGGTTGCTATCCTTTTTTACAAAAGTTGAACGTGCAGCAAACGGGGCCCGGTATGCAATCGGTTATTATACATGAGATCAACGAGGAGGCGACCACAGTGAAAATCGTGGCTGATGGGGGCAACGGAAATGAGCAGGATGAGGATGGATCTTTGGTTTTCCCACCCTACTCTCATTCGGGTAGGAATAAACAGAAAAAGGTAAAGGAACATCAAGAGATGGAAATATCACAATCTCCCCAAAAGAAAGGCAGGGTGTATGATGGTGCTCTTGCGGGAAAAGATGCGGGTATTTTGGCCCGGGGTGGTGGCGGCTGGCCCTCAACAGCCGCAGAATCCCCATGATTTTTCTATTCTGAAACTGCTGTGGTCTAGGGTCGGACACGGTAGTTCGGGCCCTTCATGGGCAGATAAGACATAATAGACCCTCTATGATCTTTCTTTCTGAAACTAAGATGAAAGATCATAGAATTAATGGAGTGCGCAGAAGGATGAGATTCACGAATGGGTTTAATATTTCGCCCATGGGAAGGG